TATGATTCTTTCTTTTTTCCACGATGAGTATTAAAGACAACTGAATTCAATCAATCAATCTATTTAAGAAAGCTTTCCATATTCTCATACAGCTTTATTATTCTTCAATCTGTTCCACCTCCAAACAATGAGGAGCAATTACGAGCTCTGGAGAGGAGCTTTTACAGAAGTCGGGAAACCATGAAGAAGACATCGGAGCTACATTAGCCTGGACTCAGAGTGACCATGAAAACCACTTCCAATTAAGTCAGATGGATACATCTTAAGAAACATGACCTTATCGGTTTAACAGACGTAAACTCGGTGTGGGTTAAGAAGGCATTTCACGCCTTGTAAAAAGCCGCACTAAAGCAAAAGCGATTTCTCATTACAGCCATGCACGGACTGAGAAACCCAAACGTTCATTTTTCCACGAGCGCTCCAAAGGGCCACAAATAATTACACATTTAGGATTAATTCACATTCGATGGCGAGGATTATTGTATTACAACTCATCTGAAAGTTTGCAAGAACGTTCAAAGCCACACTACCCCCTCACACCCCACCCCCCACCCCACTGTTTATCATGTTTAATTCATATCCCCAACAAGGATTCGAGCTGAAAGTCACCATATTGACTTTCAAATCAGTGATCTTTGAACCAACACAAAATTGTGTAGTTGGAAAAATGACAAAAGATTGATTTCCATAAGTTTCATAAGCACAACTGACTATGTAAATATGGTTGATTTCTTTATGGGGGCGGGGGAAAAAGTGGCCAAGCAGCTTATTTGCATGATCAAATGACACCATTTACATTCATGTTTTCCATTTACTATCAATCTGTTAGGTACACAGCTTTGCGAGTATGCCTGACTGGTAGTGTCGCTTTTTTTCTTTTCTTTTTTTTTTTCTTTTTTTGCAAAAATTGCATCTGCCAAGATCTGCAGCGCTTTGGGGTTTTTTCAAGCCCACAGAGACCTCCAGGGATGTTCTGAGAAAACTGCACAGTGTGATACAACAACAAGCTCATCTTTAAAGTGCGTTCAGTACATGAGAACTTACAGGGAGCACAGGGAGCTCCAGAAAAAAGTATAATGAACACTTTTCAGACCGTCTTTCAGCCTTAAATTAAGACTGGCTAAATAATATACGTCAGGTAAGAACAGAAAAAGGCAATCTAAAGTTTTCAGTGGGAAGATTACACGCTGTGAACTTTTCATTTTTACAGTACTTTGCAGTGATATCTGCAACAAAGCTTTAATTAGTCACACGAGTTGGTCATTCCTGAACTAGACTGCAGCGCTGATCATTTCACAAAGTGCTCTGAAAACAGGTGTGACTCAACAGGGGAGAGCATGGACATGCGCTTCCTTTCGCGTGAACTGCTCACAAATTCACTCCGAACTTCGCTCTTCATCTTCACTTTGACTAATGCACTGTATATTTCACTCAGAACAGGCAGTATCAGGTCTGACCTATTAACTGCAGGGTGGCCTTCAATAGCCTGAGAATTCAAAAATGGCAAAAGGTCAAGAACAACTTCCACGCTTACAACAGGTTTATAGGACTAAGCGTTGTCAGCTGGGCTCGAAAATATTTTTTTTTTCTTTGTTTGTTTGAAGCAGATCATTTAGTTACACCAGCAATTTGTTAGGAATGTATTTTTTTTACATTTTATATATAATAACAGCTTTTAATATGGACTAAAATATTCCAAACTGTACACTGTACAAGGTATATTTAGAAGATTTATGAAATTTTTCAACAATTCTGTGAACACAGTCAATAAACTGGTCAATAATATACAAATATTATCTAATTATATTCATTTTTAATCATTTTATGCCTCAAGATTTGATCTCAACTTTTAAAAATGGATAAATTCCAGTTATTCATTTTATCATTTTATACATTTATTTGCAACCAGATTGGTTTACATTATTAAAAAAACTGACTCCAAACTTTTTAACAGCTCCAACAAGAACTGCCTGCATTTAATTAAATATCAAATTAAATCCAAAACAGATAAATATTATTGGGTTAGCATTAGATTTGTCTTCCATGCTTTTGTTAGGTGTCATGTTATAATAGTACTAACTTCAGGCCTGAAACACACTAAGAGCTGCAGCAAAGATTTAAACATTCAAACAGACCTTTTCTACATTCTGATGTGCATCATTTACTTATTTTCAGACTTTCACAACCTTAATAAGCAAACATTTAAATGCTGTAATATTCCTAAAGTCTAACAACAATCAGCAGAATATTCCACCAACTATGTTATCACATAATATCATTTCAGATGTGTGTTATATATTAAGCCTGAGGTTCAGTGTCTTAATCAGTAATTAAATAAACAAATAATAAATAAATAAATAAATAAACTCTACTACTTTATTTTCTGATACCCATATAAAAAATCTGAGTATTGCCAAATACTGATAATTACACAATAAAACTAAAAACGACTAGGCTTTACAAAATGGGCCATTTTTTAATTAAAACACTTAATTTAAAGGGGAATTCCATTCATTCATTCATCAATTATTTATTTATTACTTCTGCAGAATTATGTTGTTAATATGTAAACAGCCATTCAGACTGGTTTGGTGTGGAATGCTCCATTCTAGAGAAACTTATCAAGTCAGAACTGTTCACAGTGGTGGTGATAGGAAGAGTTGAATGCCTCTAAAAGGTCCTTCACAGAAAGTTATTATGTGAATTGGTTTTGAAAACACTGCCTGATGCCTGAGACATTGTTTTACGATAGCTCTGAGAAGGTTTTGCCCTAAAATATATATTTTTAAAGAATCTGTTCATCATGAAGTACCTGCAGGGTGTTATAAGGTAAAATCAGATTTAGAACTGTTTTACCATCATGAATATTACATGCACAAAGTCAGAGGACAGATGTAGGTTCACTTTGGATAGTGAATAAAACAGCTATATTTGTGTTGTAGACATAGTGACCTCTTGTTCCTATCACCACCACTGTAAAGAACATCGGTCAGTAAGTTTCTCCACACTGAGCCATTTCACAGCAAACCGCTCTGAATTACACTGTTTACATCCGAATCACTGAATTAAACAGAAATGTTGAAAAATTGGTGGAACTGCCCTTTAAGATGAGCATCTAAAAGTAGGCTATTATGCAGGAACTCAAGTATTCTCTACTAAATGTATCTACGGCACCTTTCACTAGTACGTCTGGAAACCTCTGGTATTTCTAACAATTAGAGGAACCCAAATTCATCATGAGCAACATTTGCAATTTTGGATGAATCATCGCTGAATGAATGAACGCAGTACCCAGCAGACAGTCTGAGTCACGCACTGCGAGCGGTGGAAGATGAAGCTGTGGTGTTTGTGACTGAAGGTCATATACAGTAAGAGCGTTTACAGTACACAAGAGGCTTTAAACATAGTTCGGTGATGTGCCGTCTTCTCAGGGTCACTGTTTGTTTAATGCATGTTTACACACCACACAGGACACACGCTGGTGAGACATGGGTCAAGAATTAGCCAGCTTACGGGAAGGTAATAAAAACAACAAATCTAGGTATTCTGATTCTGACCCGAGAGAGGAAAGATACACGTTACGGAGGAGGGGCCTACGGGCTTAAAGGGCTCTCGGAAAACTGAATTTGACATTGTATGCAAACGCTGTTAAAGTTTTAAAAGGTACACTTCACACCCCGGATCACACAGTCCACATGTGGAAACTACGTCACTGTTTTAGTGATGTCACAAAACCCAGTGCATTTACATACGTCAGTCTGCAGCCTACAGCATTTACTTTAAAGTGAATGCGCCCACTCATGTTGACGTTAAAGACTATTTCAGCTCAGACTGCTTTCTGAATGAGGCACAATACAGGGTAGCCAATCAGAACAGAACTCATTTACATATACATTAAACAGCTTTAAAGGCACAGTAACCTGTTTAGTTCTAAGAGATAAAGAGAGCTCGGAAACTGCTCATGTAAAAACAAATTCTGACTATTTTGTAGTACATTTTTTTCTTAAATGCAAGAAAAAAAGTTATGGGTGTTTCAAAAAGTAAGAAAATGTTCATAATCACACATCAGAGGTTGCAACCCAAATGTTAAGAAGAGCCATTCTGTCCTTTCAAGAAAAATCAAACCACCTTGGGAGCCACAACACTTTATGTCTGTTTTACCATCTTGGCTGTAAATATGTCTCAGTATGTGCTGATGCGCTAGTATAGGATAAAAATATAATATAAACGAAAACACAGACTTAGTTTGCTCTGCTTTAAGCTTTAGCTCAGCTATAGCCACTTTTCTCGCATCTCCGGCAGGAAACTTTTCCTCAAAACTGGAACAGTTCCTTGTAAAACGTCTCTCAATGTTTAGCTTTTCAACAGAAATCATTGTGTTCACAGTTTTTGATTGTATTTTTTTTTAAATGTGGCACAACTGCTTCTTTTTTCTCTATTCCAACTGATCAGATGTCTGAAAAAGTAAATATTGTGACACATCGTCCATCGTGAAAACTTCTTGAGGTATCGCAATATTAAATTTTGGTGACACCTTATTTTAAGTGGTCCCTTTAGATGAAACAAACACTCAAAGGACTCTCAGTAACATGTCAAAAACATACGAAGGTTAGGATTAGGGCCAGGCTGAGGGTTAGGATGAGGTTTTGGGTTGAGGTGGTTAAAGTTAGGGTTAGGATTAGGGCCAGAGTTAGGATTAGGTTTTGGGTGAGGTTGGGTAAGGTTAGGTTTTGCGTAATGTATTGTTAATATGTTACTCCCATCTACTTAACGTAAGTAGTGCATCAACAGAGCATCTACAAGATATTTACTTCAGTGTATTCAGATGCTTCACTGCGGCTACTTCACTGGTATGTTGTTGATGTGTTACTGATAATCTGTTAAGAGTTTATTAATCGTCTACAAAGGACCGCTCCAGTGTCTTCAAACTTTTGGCCACTTAGAGTAAATACACACATGGATATCAACTCCTGAATACATCCGAAAAGACTGGAACTTACTGTTCTCTGACCTCAGCATCCAAAAGCACTGTGCGGCTGGGCTCTCTTGCCTATAGAGGAGACAGCAGGAGAGGAGAGAGAGGGAGAGAGGAGGAAAGAGATGAAGAAGTTAGAAACAAAGGATCCAAAATTTCCCTCTATCATCCAAAAACAATGCTCCACAGGCAGTAACACATTACACTAAATGCTTTGTGCTAATTATCCACCTATTGTGATAGCTTTATCTCCAGACAATCAAATCGACTTTTCTTCTAGAAAGATTTAGTTCGGGGGGTGGCGGGCGGGTGGTTAAGGAGGGAAACAGAAAAAAAGAGAGAGAAAAAGTGTGAGAGAGAGAGTGAGGGAGAGAGAGAGGTCACTTTGAAGCAGTTGTTCATTAATGCAACATTAACCCGGTTCCTCTGAGCGTCCTGCTCGCTCCTTGTTTAAAATATCTCACGGTACGTCTTTAGCATCTTGGAGGGGGCAAAATTCCCTTGATTAAACAAATAATAGCACATTCAAGAAAACTGTAATTGAGTTCAAATTGAATCGTGCGAGCGCTCTAATTGCATTTAAACACTCTTCGTCCCTAACCCTAGATTCGCCGCTTCTTAATTACTGGGCCTCTCACCGCCGGTCCCTCCGGTGCCAAAATGGGAAAATAAAAATAGTGTAAGTTTTACGGCACGTCGTTAAAGTGACCTATAAACTTTTTTTTTATTCAATATAAATGAAACCCCAGCAGAGGACTGGCAGGAAAGGAGGGGTTGAAAGCGTGTTGAGGGGTGTTGCACTGCCCTGTGTTATAAACGTTATAAACGCCACAGATTAGCTCTACTCCCCACAGACTCTGAGCTGTCATTCATCCCTCTAACTCCTCTCTGCTCTCCTGCTTCGCCCTTGCTTCTCATGTTTTCTTCTGTAAAGGGAGGCAGAAATGTGTTTCCTGAGCGAGTGGACAGAGGTGGAAAAAGCACATCCTGGTCGGCCGAGTGGACGCTGCCTCTGCTGGTGTCTTTCTTGCTGAGGTAGCAAAAGCTCCCCGAGAGGACGGAGTCTGCCAACACAAACAGGGCTAGCTTTCAGGGGGCAGGCAGTATGTAGGTGTATGTGTTTCTTTTTAGCACTCTGTGAGGACCGAATGTCCCCACAATGATAGAAAAACATGACTATTGTGGAGGAGCGAGGATCTTTCGCTGGTTCTTGCAAGAAAAGCTGCTCTTTTCTCGTAAAAATGTAGCCAAAGAGTCAAAACACCGTCTTAAAGACTGCGTGTAATGTAAGGTTTACGTGTACAGCCTCGTGCATAAGTTTTGGCACCCCAGGCATATCACATTTTGCTGATTTTTCTAATTGAAAAATATGTTAATATCTTCCATAAGGAATATAGTGCCACTGTCCAAAAACACAAAAAACATGCATTTCCAAAATGGTAGTTTTAGAGGAGAACGCAAAAACTTTCTTAGCTTCTAATGCAAGTTAAAGTAAAGTAAAGAGCATTAATTCCAGGTAATTTTGGAACATTCCTACTGGCCCATTCATTATGAAACTTCCACACAATGTAAATCTGCTGTGCTCAGAAGAAATCTATTTTTTTTGGATGCCGATAATATTTTAAAAACAGCACTTTTCATTTTTTTCAACAACTTTTAATACACAATGTCTATTTATTTGCTGAATTTAAGACGTTGGGAGAACAAACGAGTGTAAAAAGTTTGAGCACATGCCACATTTTATGTTTGAAGTTCACCCAATATGTTAAATTCAGCCAAAACACTGAAACTGTGCACTAAAATTTGTAGATCTTTATTTGAAGTCTACCTACATTACACATGAATAAGCACTGAATAACGTATTTATAAATCAACACTTGAATATTCATGAACAGCTTATGTTATTAATCGCAAAATGACATAACATGTTTTATGAAGTAAATAACATTGTACTGACATAAGGGACCTTAAACTGAATTGATGCACAGTCTGTTTCATTTATAACACTGTTATAACTATGTCCTTCTCAAATGATGGAGCTTATACAAGGCTGTGCAGAGGCCTAGATAAAAACACTATCAGTTGTATATATTTAAGTACAAAAATGTGTTACAAAAGGAATAAATGTCTATCACCCTTATGTCAACACATTAAAATGACAGGCTTACTACATTTACATAAAACATCCCGTGTCATCTTGCAATTAATGGCATAAGCAGTTCATTAATACTCAACTATTGCTTTATAAGTATGTAATTCAATACTTATTTATGTGTTATGAAGTCTTTATGCAGGTTGCCTTCAAATAGTGTTACCGAAGTTTGTTCCTCACAGAGGGTAGAAGATGTGTTAACTTATCTTCAATTAGCCAAATCATATACACATATTTGGAAATGTAATAAATTGTACTGTTTTTGGGAATATGTATATGATGTGGTTGAAGACATTTTGGGCTACTGAGTTCACAAAAGAGATTAAGAATGCAAAATTATGTACCTTGGAGATATAAATGATCATGTTACGGATAATCTCAAACACTCGGAACACTTCTGATAGCCAGCAAAAAAAGCAATAAAATGAAATTGGTATAAGATTGAACCTCCTTCAATAGAACAGTGGGTGGAAATTGTAAGGCAAATTTACATACTAGAAAAAATGACTTACCAGCTTCAAGTGAGAGCATATGTATTTGTTAACATGTGGCGAAAATGGACGACATTTGACAAAATATGCAGAGATAAATGGACATAAAAGCAAGGATACTACACCTTTAAACGCATTTGATAAGAGTTGTAACCTCCTTTTCCTCCCCTCCTCTCTTTTTAGTGTTTTTCTGATTGTGACATTCCTTTATTGTATAAATCTAGTCCACTCAATAAACTCAATAAACACTTAAGTGTCAAAAAAAGGCTTAAACTCAATTAGAAAACTCAAAACATGTAATATGACTTCAATAAGACTGGAGGCACAGTATTACTACAGCATTACAAGAGTCAGCAGAGGTCCTCACTAACGAAGCAATACCAGCACGTGTGTGTGTCTGCGGTGGCCTTCCTGAGGGCTCGCTGCAGCTGTACTTCTCCGAATAAAGGTAAGAGGGGAAAGACAGCAGCGCTACTGTAAACTGTGTTCAGGCTCCCCTCCCGGCCATCTTTCACCAGGACATTCCGAATCAAACGGTCAGAATCGACTCCACCTAAAAACACCCCGCATTGTTATTTCCACCCGACCTTCCCACGAAATACAAAGGACCAGAAAAAAAAAATGTCTTTGCAAAGAGGGAAAGAGGGCAGCCCTGCTTTTTTCTGGTTCGTGATCCTGCCAAACAAAATGCCAGGAGAGCGGCAGTGACATTCAGCGGCGGTTTAAAAATACAAGCAGTTTGAAAGTGATTAGAGTCTTTATATTATTGTTGAGAGTCTGACACCAGAGAGGAAACCAGAACAATCAATTCAACCGAGTCCGCTTTTCTTTTTTTCCTTCCTCCCCCTTTCTCTCCCTCTCTCGCTGAATTTAGAAACGCTAATTAGTTTTGCTCTCATAAACCCAACCTGAAAATGGCCAATTAGATAGTGTGAAGTGGGAAACGTGCAGAAGAAACAAGCGCTTAAAGCGGGAGAGGAAGAAAAAGAGAAAAACCTCATCATCCTTCAATTACAGCCTCACATCCACTTCAACGAAAGGAGAGAGAGAGAGAGAGAGAGAAAAAAAAGAGAACGTTTCACACAGCATATGTTGCTCCTGCGTTCAAAGACAAAAGCATGAAACCAGAAGAGACCGAGAGAACTGAAATGGCTTGGTGTAAATGAACCAGGATCATAAAACTACATCTGTACTAGACGGCATTGAAGTCTCTTGGGTGTGCAGAGGTCAGTGGTGCTAACTGTGCCACCTGGCTAACCACAGCAGCAGCTGGGTCTTAGCGTGATCTAACAAGGTCCTAACCAGCACTTTCCCGCTGCCCAGCTGACTAAATCCACCCGCTTTTTCAAGGATAAGAGCAAATCTGACGTTCCCACAACTCTAAGCCCTTTCTTCTTCATCTGAAGGCAGGTTTTCTGTTTCCTGCCACATGGTTTGCTTCCATACCAAGAGACGTCGTAAGAAACGAATGACAAAAATTGTCTTCAGGAATTTTTTCCCAGGCCTTCATCCCAGGACCTGACCCGGTCCAGTCTTTCATGACCGCAGCAGTGGCTGGGTCTTAGTGTGATCTAACAAGGTCTTTACCAACACTTCCCCGCTGTCCAGCTGGATAAATCCACCAGCATTTCCGAGGATAAGACCAAACCCGACATTCCCACAACTCTGTACCAAGCTGGGCCCTTTCTTTTTAAACTTAAGGCAAGTTTTCCCTTCCTTGCCATGTGGTCTGCTTACAAACAGAGACATATCATAAGAAATGAATGACCAACTTTGTCCCAGAAGCTGACCTGGTCCAGTCTTCCATGACCACAGAGGCAGCTAGGTCTTAACATGATCCAACAAGATCTTAACCCAGCACTTCCATGCTGTCCGGCTGGATAAATCCACCCGTATTTCCGAGGATAAGACCAAACCTGACATTCCCGCAGCTCTGTACCAAAGCTGGACCCTTTACTTTTTAAATTTAAGGTAAGTTTTCCTTTTCTTGCCATGTGGTCTGCTTTAAAACAATGACAAAATCATAAGAAATGAATGACCAACTTTGTCCCAGGAGCTGACCCGGTCCAGTCTTTCATGACCACAGCAGCAGCTAGGTCTTAACATGATCTAACAAGATGTTAACCAACACTTCCCCACCGCCCAGCTGGTTAAATCCACCTGCATTTTCAAAGGTACAATCATATCCAACATTCATCCAACTCTGCTCCAAAACTGGGCCCTTTCTTCTTAATTTTAAGGCAGGTTTTCTGTCTCTTGCCACATACTACGCTTCCATATCGAGACATGTCATAAAATATTAATGGCAAACTTGTGCAAAATTGTCTTCAGGAATTTTTTCCCAGGCCTTCGTCCCAGGAGCTGACCTGGTCCAGTCTTTCATCAGTGTCGATGAGAAGACTGATGGCCTGTCAGATGCCCCACCCCCCACC